CTCACTTTTGCGGCACTCATTATCTTGCCAAAGTCACCCATCTGATATATTCTCTCGTCCAATTCAGCATCACTATTAGCTTCCCTCATGAAGCATGTCCTGCTTCGCTACAATTTTCTCAATACAATTGCCAGTCGCGATTAGTATCAGCAATCGCTTACCAGCTGACTGTTGCTGTGGGTAAAAGCGATACTGAGTATCGTTGATAAACAAACCCGCTTGCATCAACCGGTTTATGTATCCTGTTATGATCTTCAGGCCACCCTGAGGGAATCGCAGTTTCTCGAAGGAAACAAGAATGAACTTGTCTGGATCATCGCTGTGCAGAACGCGGTTGCTCGGAAACTGGAGGATGCTTAGGGTGATTGCCTCCGGCGCAAACTTGATAAATTTGCCGAAAATCCTATTATCGTCCCTCCTTCTCCTTGGAGGGGTGAGATGTGTTTGGGGCAAAGTGAAGCGCCATGTCTCCTGATCGTGAGGAGGATTTTCAAGAAGTGTGTACATAGAATGTCAGGCAATGTTCAAAGCGAGAGAGCGTGGATGTGGATGATTGGTTTTTGTGTGGCCACGAGTTCGAGCTGCTTTCAATGCACGGCTCAGCCATCGAAGCATTTGGCATGCATCTTGACTTCCGCGGTGCCTGATGGGGTCACGGTCCGGCCGATTGGCGCCCAAATCGTTGTTTGCCCAACCATTCAGCGAGTGCGACAGCATGCCAGACAGACAAGTTTCACCCACTCAAGTGTACGTGATAGGCCCATCGTCTACGGGAAAGACTACGCTCTGCAACGCGGTCGCGAAGTCCGTAGGACTGTCTACGAGGTGCTATATCACTGAGGTAGCGCGCCAAGTGATGCGGTCGAAGGGCTACACAAGGGCAGATGTGGGCACGATAGAGATGCAAAGGGCAATTATGTTGGCACAGTTGGAGAAAGAAGCCAATGCTTTTGCGCGCGCACGCTGGGGAAACAATGAAGGACTCATCCTTAGCGACCGTTCTGGCATCGACCCCATCGTCTATGCTATTATGACCGCGAAGGGTGAGGGCGAGGCACGGCAGAAGGAGGATATGCTGGCCAACATACCTGCATTCCAAATGGCACTCCGTCGCTACAAGGATGCCATCTTCCTACTCTTGAACCCTGTGGAAGAGTGGCTGGTGGACGACGGCGTGCGGAACTTGGACAATCACGAACGTTGCATCAAAGTCTTCCGTCAAGTACTCGATAAATTTGGGATCAAATACCAAGAGATGGGAGCGGAAACCAAGAGGATCGAAGATAGAGTAAGGCTTTTGGAGGAACGTATATTACTGGCTCAGCGGCCCCATGTCTCCCAGACACCGGCCACTCGACCCAGGGTCAGTAAGTCTACTTCAGCGTGTTATCCCGATACTGAAGGCCATCGTCCAGTCACGAACTCCGGCCGAGAAATGAGACCCTAGCCGAAGAAGTGGAAGATATAGAGGTCATGGAATGAGCAAGTCAATAGTGGTCGTGGGCAACTGGTCGCTGCTCCTCGCTGTAGTCGTAGTACGATGTGTGGTATGTAACCCAGATATTCCAGAACCATGGTGTCGTGTACGTTACGTTGTTCGTGTCCCTTTGTCCTTGCTTGAAACTCAGCGGTCGTATTCCATCTCCCTTAGAGTCCGTACGGTATGTTCGCGTAGTCTCGCTACACAGTTGCTTGCCGGCTTTGGTATTTTACTTTGTTTGTGATCCTGGCAAGCCACCGCTCTGCCATGCTGCGGAGTTTGTATTTTGAGAGTCCGTACGGTATGCTCGCGTAGTCTCACTACACTCTTTGACAATTCTACAGAGATATATTGGGTGATTAGTAAGAATGGTCGGAAATTGAAAGTTGACTGCCAGCTGCGATGCTCATATTGTGCTCATATCACTGATCAATGCTCAGTGCGCAGCCATGGACGATGAAGAAGCACATCAATCGCAAGAGCTCATACGAGAGAAGGTCCTTGTCATTGTCCAGATTCTTACTAAACTAATGGTTGATCTCCCCTCTGGAGAGATCCCTAAGAATATATGGCCATACCACACATCTGTGCTTTCTGGAGAGGCTTGGTTGGTTGAACTGATCCTTGGTCACCCAGACCATATACATTGCAAGTTAGGTATGAGCATACACATGTTCAAAGAAATTACTCTTGAACTCTGCAACCATGGCTACCAAGCCTTGAAGCACACCTCTCTTGAAGAACAGCTCACAATTTTTTTGTATACATGTGTCACTGGCCTACCAATCAGAAATGTTGGAGAACATTTTCAGAGATCCAATGATACAATCTCGAGGTACATTTTGATTCACTTTTCTGTGCCCATTTCTAACAGCATCTGTACTTAGATACTTCCACAAAATGGTTACAATCTTTGCTTCTGAACCCTTCTATTTGAAGCACGTATCACTCCCATTTGCTTCTTCAACTACTACTGTCCACCCAAAAATCATGTGGAGTCATAGGTTCTGGCCATACTTCAAGGATGCAATTGGTGCCATCGATGGCAGTCATATTCCCACTTCCCCACCACTTCATGACCATGCCACATACCACAACCGAAAGGGCACCATGTCCCAGAATTGCATGTTCACCTGTGATTTTGGCATGAATTTCACTTATGTATTGACTGGCTGGGAGGGTTCAGCTACGGATGCATGAATTTTCCAGGAAGCGTGTGCATCAAGTCTCGATATTCCCCAAGGAAAGTATCTCCTTGGTGATGCTGGTTTCCCATTGTCAGAAGGAGTCCTTGTACCTTACTGCCACACATGCTATCACCTGGCAGAGTGGCAACAAGCATCATTAAGGTATGCATTTACTGCATGATTGATATCCATTTACTTCCCGTTTTACAGGCCTGCAAACAAAGAAGAGCTTTTCAATTTGTGTCACTTGTCTGCATGGAATGTTGTCGAACGAATCTTTGGTGTCATCAAGCGTCGTTTCTGAATTCTTCTTCTCCCTCCAGAATATCCTATCAAGATCCAGGCGCTCATTCCTGTTGCCCTATGCATTATCCACAATTTAATTATGTCACATGAACAGGATCCAGATGCTGATGGAGAAATGCCAGAGGGGGATAGTGGAGGTGATGGGGGTACTGGGGAAGTTGGCGACATTGAGCAAGAAGAAAGCATGCTATCAGGGGATGATGAGGGAGATGATGACCCTCAAGAATTATCAGCCAGGGTGTTGCACGATTCTATTGCTGAGGCAATGTGGCATGACTACCAGGAGTATCTGTGGAAGTGAGGGCAAACTTGATCATAGAGATTGTTTTATGTACACTTTTCTCACTTTCTAAATGAATATCTCTGGATCATTCTTTGCATAACAAAACACTGGGTCAGATAAATATGATGGAGGTACTACAACACAAGGTCATCTGGAATGAGTTTCTGGTTATGAAGACAAGTCTGAATCCAGTTTCTATGAAGGGTTTTATCATCCAACATGAGGTATAAATCGATCACCCCCCCATCCATATGGAACGCTTCCATCAGGGTCGTCTTAGCTAACAGGGGAAGGTCGTCATCTTACTGTGCAAGCATCTCCACAGTGGCATGCATATGCTCAGTATGCCTTTGCTGTGCAGCAACTGCAGACAACGAACTGATAACAGACCCAAGGTATGAAAGGGAACCCTGTACACCAACAAGTAAAGCGGGTGTGGATGTTTCTTTGCTCTTCTTCGACTTCTTTGAAGAGCATTCTGCATCATCCTTGATAGAGAGCAACTGGAGCGCAGCTTGCACCAATGGAATTTCAGCAGAGGGTGAAGCAGGGTTGGTGTCCGCATGTGTATGCTTCCTACTTGATGGCATAGAGCTGGTAGTTGAGGGGGGATATGAGCTAAGTAACATTGTAGGGGAAGCGAGAGTTGGCATGGGTGGATTAAATTGCATTGAAAATAGCTGGGACTGCACGTTCATTCCGTTAGCAGGAGCTACCTTGTCGACAGACATTTGATTGATTGCATCATCTTCAATGATGCCGGCAGAGCTTCCAACCTGAGGAGTAATGAACTGTAAAACAGCAGAGGACATGGATGGGGTCATCACTGGATCACTGGAGGTATGGCTAGACAGGTTTATGGAGAGGCCAGGACCACTGGCGCTGGATACAAATGCCGCAGAAGTCATAGGATGGTAGGCATGCTGTGAGTCAAAGTGAGGTTCAGTGGTGAAAACCAACCAAAACCAACACAAAAGACAATGAAAGTGAGTGGTGGTGTGCCTATGTGGTACCTAGATGGTAGAACCTGTTCTTTGGGAGGGTTTTTGCAAGCTACAACACTCAAAGATGAGTGCTGAGGGTTGGGGGTGCTCCTGATGAAGAGGGAGCAAGAATGTGATAGAAAGTGATAGGGTAGACTGCTGTCAGCCTACAGAAGGATGGATGGTGACTTAATTCGATGTCCTAAGCTGTACTGAGCTCAGGGAGGGCTTGGAACGAAGTATATGGATGATAGATGATGATAAGCGAAGTAGATGATAGCTAGACCCTTAATAAAGTCTCAACTATCGAAGCTGATGAATGATTTACTGAGAGATGATAAATTGCGAGCAAGAGGGGCTCTCTGATGTCTTCTTTTTTTTGCTACCTAAGTACAGTGACTTATATACAGTACAGGGGCATTGCCTATGGAACACAAGGTGCAAACACTTGGTAAGTGATTGGTAACTGATGAGTAAGGAATGTAAGCGATGGGTAATCATCTTGGAAAGCATTGGTAAGCATTGGTAAGGATAAGTAAGCCAAAAAGTGAAGAATCAGTAAGCAAAGTCAAAAGATTGGTAAGTATTGGTAATAGGTGAGTCAAAGACAGTCAGAATGTCACAGTATGAGTCAAGCAATGTCAGGAACTGGGAAAGTGCACTGGAATCACATTAGGGGGAGGCTGTGCATGTCACATCTCGAAGAGATCACTTCTAGGCCAAAGTGGGATGACAGAGAGGCAGTGCTGATCTGATGCTGATATAGTACATCCAAAAGCAGGACAGGGTGAGTCAGATGTCAACAGGGGTCAAGCTTTGGGGGTCTGTGGGGTGACAGGAGCATAGGGGATTCGCAACTTTCCCCCCCAAACCATCCTCTCAGTGAAGCAAATTAAAACTTCATGAACTGAGGCTCTGTTGGAAGAGAGGATGAAGGGGGAGCGTCTTCTGCTGTATCTTGCAACAAGGAGGCAAGATGTGCATCATACTCGTCATGGATGCTGATCAGGGAGAGTGGAGAACAGTAGATTATACTGTAGCTGTTGCAATCTTGGAAGAATGATGGATGAGACTGGTATGAAGACGTTGCAGGGGGCAGGGAGGAAGGATCCATATGCTTCTTGGACTGGAGAGACTGAAACGAACCACATAAGACCTTTCCAAGTGAATGACAGACCTGAGGCGACCAAAGAACATCCTCCTGGAGGTCATACTGACAAAAAGAACATGCTGTCCAAGCTGGATGGACTGAGAGGGGGCAGATGAGGGTGGGATGTACCAGGATGCTTCAGGATGGAAGCTGATAGGAACCCCTGGTAGATATATGTAGCCATGGTCCCTAGCAAAGGGGACAAGTGAAATGACTGATGTGGAGGCAGCCATATTAGAAGAATTAGTGAAATGAGTGTCTTTTGGAGGGAGTGCTGTAGAAACATGTGGAGTGCGCAAATCCTTTCCAATCTTGGAAGGTAGGATTGCGTGGCTGAGCACTACAAGCGAGTGTGGGAATGGTTTTGGTGTCTGCAGAATTGGTGGAGATATGTCGAAAACTGGAATGCTGTACATGGGCGCTTAAGAATTTTATTGGTGCTTAACTTGCCTCCTCCTTTTTCTTTGGCACTGACAACTTGTTCTTGTGTGAGGGATGACTGCCGACATTGCTGGCTGTCCTTCTTTGCATGAGGGCTATGGTCTTCACCTCCATTCATCAGCTACATCCATGTCCACCTCACCAAACACCTTTGGTGTGTGACAGCACATACCATGGGCTTGGTCATTTGGAAACAGTGACTCCATTGCTGTAAGCAGGGCCAACTGATGTTTTTAAACTGGCACATAGCATTCCTGGGTTGGCCCTGTTGATGGATGTTATTGATGTCAAGCAATGGACCCAAGATGATGGACACATACCACTAACCAGTCCTTGAAGTTGCTTTCCTCACTCTCAGAGATAATATTTGCCCCATTTTCATTATCCCAATGCTTTCCAGAATGACCTTGCCATAAGTTGATATCCCTCAGTATGGATTTGAGCTGTACCAATAATGATCAATGAGGCTACACAGGCGCTGGGGAGGGAACAGGATACTCACATTACTGAGCTTCCCTCTGCACATATCAGAGGTCTTCATCGCACCTTTTTGTTTTGGGAATTTCTTGTTTATGTGGGCAGCAGCCGCACTCCAAGTGGCAGACTTGAACGACCCA